CGGGGGAGAGATGAGCTCTCGTGCCTCCGTTGGTAAAAAAAAATGAGCCAATCAGCATCGAGTGTTGACTTTCAGCGCTGAGGAGTGTTGAGAAAAGAAACCTCGTAAGGGAGGCTAGCCTCCCTTCTGATATCAACCAATCATCATAGAGACGTAAATTACGTGATATTAGTTTGAACGTCTCCCGCTGCGCTGATAATGTACCAAGCACTTATGATGAGTAGCGATATTGAATATTTGATTGCCAACAGATTTACCAAGCTGTCATTCAAACAGTATATATACAAATTTTAAAAAAGGGAAAACTTGCCTAACTGGATATAGGCCAGTGCTCAAAATATGCAAATGTCTTCAAATCACCACATCGCGTCTGTCTATAAACGAGCTGCAGTGCACGCTGCACAGTTGACACAGGAATTGTCACTTGCACAATCGAGGCAGTGTCACATCGTCACGAAATCGTCATCACTAAAGTTTATAAATTGCATTACTTTTTCATTCTTGCCAGTGTTTAACCATTCAGCGCTCGCACGCTCTCCTGGAGACCATGCGCTCCTGCACATTTGCAGCGCAGGCAGTGTCACATCGTCACGAAATCGTCATCACTAAAGTTTATAAATTGCATTACTTTTTCATTCTTGCCAGTGTTTAACCATTCAGCGCTCGCACGCTCTCCTGGAGACCATGCGCTCCTGCACATTTGCAGCGCACACACACACACACACACACACACACATAATGCCAGGTACACATTACTCCGTTTGCAGTGCGAATGCGGTGCGTATTTTTTCCGCGCTCATGTTAACGGATTAATAAAAGCGTTCACTGCACACGGTTGCGGTCTGGCAGTGCGTTCAGGAGCGGTGCGTCTGCAGCAGTGCAGAGATCGTTTCCACACCGAGTCTATTTTTGCTGCGCTGCAAGCACTGAATGAAAGTAACAGCGCATGTTTTGCAGTAAATATGAACATGGATTGACACGAAAATGTAGTAATTACACCGTTATAAATGATTAAAAGAAGGCTTTAAAAAGATCGGTATCGGCAGATATTGCTTTCTATGATCGGCCTCAAAAATCCTGATCGGAGCACCCCTAGTTTCTAGTATGCCTAGTAAGACCTTAATTAGCTGGTTCAGGTGTGTTTAATTAGGAGCTAAACTCTGCAGGACACCGGCCCACAGGTCTACAACACTGCAAAAAAGCTAAACGATTATTACAAATTGTTTAAGAAAAAGTGACCAGTTAAAGTGCCTTTTTCCTTAAATATTAACCTGATGCAAAAAAAAAAAAAACACCCACACATGTCCATGTTGTCAATCAATCAACAATTGATGTATCAGCTCTGCAGGTGTTATCTAAAACATGTGCATAGTAAACAGCCGTGGTGAGAACATATCAAAGAAAAATCTGCAACATATTTTGCTGCACTTATCTTGCTAGCTTTTAAGTTTTACGGCTTCAAGTCTTGCCAACATGTTTTGGATTGTACAGACTATATCTCTCACCAGCACATAGGTGGGGAAACCTAATTCAAATTCCATAAAGATAAGCTAATGTAAGATAACAGGTGATGCAAGCATAAATTGACACAGTAAGAGTGAATGAGCAAAATACATAAATACAAATTCTCTACGGGGGTCTCATAATATATCTTCACCTAAACCCACTTTAAACTGTCAAAGATCAGGCACTGATTAGCAATGCTGGATTATCATAGAAGTACTCACAGAACTAGGCTAGAGAAACAGATAACAACACCATTGACATATTCACACTTCACATGCACATAAATCATGCAGGGAACAGCATGTTGCATCAGACCACTGACTCATTTATTCATTTATTTATGCTGCAATATTCATGAGCACAAGATATTGCAGCATAAATATAGAAATTATTTAATATATAGTCTCCTTAGCTGGAAAATGGAAAGCAGTTTTAGTTGGATGCAGGGCTGGGCAAAAAAATCGAATGCGATTTTCATGCGCATCTCGTCAGCCGCTCCTGTGATTAGTAGTAAATCTTCAGCACGTGCTTTCAGATGGAGCGGCATTTACTACACAGAGCCATAGTTCACTGACAAGCTACACAAAATCACGTTCAAAATTGCAGGCGATTCATTGCCGATTTTGAATGCGATTTTGTGTAGCCTGTCAGTGAACTATGGCTCTGTGTAGTAAATGCCGCTCCATCTGAAAGCACGTGCTGGAGATTTACTAATAATCACAGGCGCGGCTTTACTGACGAGATGCGCATGAAAATCGCATTCGATTTTTTGCACAGCCCTAGTTGGATGTAACAAGTATGCAATGCCTACTACACCCGCATACCAATTTTGCACTGGCAAAAATAGATTATGAATTAAAATGACTCGAGAAGGGTTTAAGATGGGAATTTACCTGTATATTCAGGCTGGAAACCACCACATCCCCTGTAGGAGTTATTATGGGCAGGTTTTCACATTTGATGCCCTGTTCCACATCAATCACGTTACCTGAGCAGACACACACAAACATGACAAGACAATTACTTCATGTAAATGTACAGTATACTGTAGAATATAAAAGTACTGATTACTATGTACTGTTCAGTATGTACTTAAAATTCACTACTGTTCAAAAGTTTGGAATCTGTAAGATTTTAAAAAATGTTTTAAAAATGTTTTTTATGCTCACCAAGGCTGCATTTATTTTACAGTAAAAACTGTAACATTGTAATATTGTATTTCTATTTTACTATATTCATATTATACTATATTAAATCGTAAATTCCTGTGATGCAAAGCTGAATTTTCAATGTTAAAAACAGATGTGCTGCTTAATATTGTTGTGCAGGTGGTGATTCATTTTTTCAGGATTCTTTTCAGGATGAATATAAAGTTCAAAAGAACAGCATTTATTTCAAATAGAAATCTATTGTGACATTATAAATGTATTTACTCTCACTTTTGATCAATTTATTGTGTTCTTGCTGAATTTTTCTTAAAAAAAAAAAATCTTACTGACCCCAAACTTTTGAACGGTTGTGTACTTTAATAAAGGATGCACCTGTAACTGTTTAAACTGTAATATGCTATAATGTTGTAACATGACCTCATTTAATTCAGCAAATGGCGTCCAGTTATTGCCTTGAAAATTGTAAACCAATTTTGTGTGCACTTTTGGAATACCAATCAAATAATGAGAGAGAAAACAAATCGAAATTCACAGTTTAAATTGCTTCTAGTTTATTTGCCACACTGGAAATGGAAGATAAAGTTGAGCACATTGCATTGTGGGATACAGAATTCCGAGCAGTATGCACTAGGGGTTGAACGACTTCTGATTTTTTAAAGTCGACTTTTATGTGATGAAAGTCGAGTCAAAGTCGACTAGTCGCTGATGACGTCATTAATGAACAAATAAGTCTGGAGCTGTGATAAACACCTTGTGCAAAGCTATGGCATATGACACAGCGCTGCCCACATGGCTGTTGCTCCTATAACAGCTTTTTTTTTATCAGTTCTTTTGTCTTTGGGTCGTTATATTTCTCACAGATTTCTGCTCATTCTAAATCAGATACAGATAAAGCAGCACAGTAAAGATTAAGAAATATATGCTTGAACTTTTTCAGTTTCTAAGCTATTTTATTGAGAAATCACAGAACAGTGTTGACAATACATTTCCGCGCTGAATGATTCTGTGTGCGCGCGATCTGCGCGTGATGTACGAGCTACTGTCTGCAATGTGTGTGTGTTACAGTGCAGCAGCGCATTAGATTAGAACGCCGATTAACTTACCTACCTGTACAATAAGCGGTTTAAAACGTGCATTCTCTCATTCAATTTCGAGCATCCAGTAATATAACCTCACATGTCTTGTGGAGCGCTTTCAGAGTATGCATTTATTTGTCATTTTAACTGTTTGGAAACGGAGCGTAAATGTGGAAGTCCTTCAAAGATTTCTTATCCTGTTGCGCCCTCTATAGGACCAGCGACTAGTCGACGTCAAGCTTAAAGCGTCATGGCAGAGCACTGAAGTCGACTAGTCGGTGCAACCCCTAGTATGCACTGACTGTATAGGATACATTTCGTCAAATGTAAGCCACCTGCATATTGCATGCATATAGATAATTGGTTATACTGTGCAAAGTAAACATACTTTCTGAAGCTGTAGATAGTACACTCTTTCAGTCATAGCTATATATTCAACTGAAGTTGATCAAACCTCTGATCTGGAGCGGTCCCTCCACTCTCATGCCATGTTTTATCTTCCGAGCCGCCCCTGTCTCCTCTGGCTTCACCTCTGAGGCCGAACGGCGGTACATCCCAGCATGCACATCCTCAAACACCTCAAACATCTCATACACACGAGCCGTATATCCAGCCAGCTCTGTGACCTGTGAGATGACAGAGTACTTTTTAGTCATTTTCACACATGAAACCCTGCATAAGCAACAGTTTTTGACTGAAACAACTAGTCTGGAGGCAGGAAATGATTTATTTGGAGTTGAATGCACTATGAGTTTAGCTCTAACCCTAATCAAACACACCTGAGTTTGCTTATCAATGTCTTCAGGATCATTAGAAAATCACAGCTAGGTTTGTTTGATTAGGGTTGGAGCTAAACTCTGCAGGAAAGTGGATCTTGCGAGCCAGATTTGAGGATCACTGCTGTAGACAATTTCAGATTTACCGTGCCCTAAACATCAATTTTAGTGTTTGTTTAGAACTTTTTTTTTTCACTGCTTAATCTAGATTTGAAAGTGCTTTTTGAAAAGTTATTAGGTGAAATGCATCTCACCTCTTTGTAGGAGATCATGATCCTCTCCACCGCATCAGCTGCAGCGTTCAGAAGGTTCCGGGCCGTGGTGAAAGCCTGTGTGCGTTCACTCACCAAGTCCTCCTCCTTCATCACCAGGGCTGCCTGTTTCACATCCTCTGAATCTGAATGGACGTCACAAGAACAAGACTATGAGAAAAATATCAAATGATGAAAGAGAAGACTGGAGTAATGATGCTGAATATTCAGCTTTGCATCACAGGAATAAATTACATTTTAAAATATATTAAAATAGAAAACAGTCATTGTAAATTGTAAAAATATTTCTCAAATATTACTGTTTTTACAGTATTTTTTTACCAAATAAATGCAGCCTTGGTGAGAATAAGAGACTTCTTTGTTTAAAAAAAAAAGTCTTACTGACCCCAAACTTTGAATGCTATTACAGAAGTGAACATCAGGTACAGTACAAAAAAAAAAAAAATTGTCCCCTTTAAGAACACCATATCAACACATGCTCAAGGATGTTCAAGGAAGTTTTGAATTCACAGAGCCAAAACGTCTGGAGCCACAGACGCAGAGAAGAGAACAGAAACTACAGATAATCATAATTGAATCCATACCATATTTAGAATATCCGGTGGCAGTGATGATGGGCACGGCGACCATGACCAGGCCCGATGCGCTCCAGAGATATTTCATCAGGAACTGTTCCAGCATGACATACCAAAGCCTCTTGAACAGGATCAGGTTAATCTGCTTGGACAGCGAGGCGTAGCTCTGCTGCAGCTGCAACATCTCGATCTGCGCAGGGCACAGACGCAGGCACGCAAACACGCACGCAGACACCCATACACACAGATACAAAGGCAACAAGATAACATCAAACTGAGGAACACGCAAGCTCACATGCAGATTAGTTTCCAATAATAAAGTGTCCAATCATCTTTTTTGTACTAATAGGAAATATAAATTTTTAAGCATCAAATCAGAGCATATTAAAATAATCATGAAGGTTAAGAAGTTAAATGAGTTAAGTGCAATGTGTGTGAGTGTGAGCCTCGGGTCAGAGAGGCGAATGCAGACTTTTGCCCCAATTCCAGGGCCTTCTTTGTATTCAGACACGTCACATGACCTCTCTCTATGAACACTTTCCCTAGCCATATGACTGTGAAGTTCGGGAACATTTCCCATTGCAGGGATGGGGCACTGTTTGTTCAGCAGGGACATTTGATTTGTCATTGGGACACATGAACAAAATGACCTCAAACACCTGTTTTAAAGGGATAATTCACCCATAAATAAAATTTCTATCATCATTTACTCACCCTCACCCCCAAAGCTACAGTATCCATAGAACACAAAAAAGGATAAAGCAAGGGTTTTTAAACTAATGATGATCTCTACATGATCTAAATATCTTCTTGCAAGCGATCTCTTTTTTAAAACATATATTCTCTTCAGCTCACCAAGGCTGCATTTATTTGATTAAAAATACAATAAAAAATATTGTAAAATATTATTACAATTTAAAATAACAGATTTCTATTTGAATATATTTCAAAACGTAATTTATTCCTGTGATGCAATGCTGAATTTTCATTTTTTGAAAACAGTCATACCGTTTAATATTTTTGTGAAATCTACATTTTTTAGGATTCTTTGATAAATAGAAAGGTCAAAAGAAAAGCATTTGTTTGAAATAGAAATCTTCTGTAACATTATAACTGTCTTAACTGTCACTGGATCAATTTAATGCATCCTTGCTAAATAAAATCTTAATTTTTTTCAAAAACTAAAATCTTACCGACCCCAAACTTTTGAACGCTAGTGTATATATTTACAAAATTAAATAATTCGTTTTTATATTGTCAGTGAAATAAGGTCAAAAAAAGTGATTAAAACTGGAAATGCATCTTGTGTTTGTTTAACAATTTTTACAATGAATTATTCTACACAACAAAAAGTGCTCTACAAAACCCCAGCAAGCAAGCCAATTATATTAAAATAACAATATAATATATAATATAATTACATATGTTGTATAAGACAATATTACATTAAATTTGTTAAAAATAAATTGATTGCATTAACATGTAATAATATTTTATATTAACATAAAATAAATAAATATATAAATAAAATAACACATTAAATAATAATAAATTAAATCATATTTTATTATTAAATACAAATAATAATAATAATAATAATAATAATAATAATTAATAATAATAAAACATTTGTAACTTTATTTTTTATTTAGGCCCCCAGTTTGAAAATCAAGAAAGCACCACAAAAATCGTGTTCTATATTTCAAATATTTTTAAGCTATAAAATAGCATTGTGTGAGAAGCAGATTGAAATGTATTCACTGAGCAACTTCACTTTTTGATCGCTGCTGGACACTGTTTTCATGGTATGAAAAAGAGCAAGGTGAACATGCTGCTAAACATCTCCTTTTGTGTTCCAAAGTCATACACATTTGGAAAGACATGAGGGTGAGTAGCTTAAATGGTGACAGAAAACTAACCCAAGAGGCTATTCTCTTACCTTATGTCCTCCATAGAAGGCGATCTCCTCTGAATTGGCGATTATGCGTGAATGCATGTATCTCAGGTCACCTTTCCTCCTGGCTTCCTCGGCCACCAGCTTACCAAAGCGGGGTGAGAACGCTCTCAGAATCTTGGCAGTAAGTGCCACCACAATGCCAGCTATGATGGAGGGCCATGTGGTGTTGGCACCTTTCGACTCGGCGGTTTTAATGAGAGTGTAACAGGTCACCACTACATCGAGGATAGGCTTGGTCAGGTTCGAGTACAGATGAGCCACAGAGGCAGCGAACATCACCACATCTTCGGTCAAGGACTGATCAGGGTTCGCCAGCCGGCCGTCCATGTTGCTGACACGGTAATACGTCTGATCGCTGAAATACATCATGTAGGCGTGGGTGACCAACCGGGTGCGAAAGGCGAGGGTCAGCTGACCCTCCAGGTAACGGATGGCACTGTTCACAAATGTGGCGGGAATGGCAATGAGCAGCCATTTAGTTAACTCAACCACAAACGCCCTGGGGTCTTTCTTCACAATGGTTTTCACTATTTGCCCATCCAAATTGGCTACATAGATGGAGAGAAAGGTGCGTGAAATGAGGGCTAGAGAGTGGAAACCGAGCAGGCCGAGTTCTTTGCAGAAAAGCCGAGGAAAGAGGATTTTCAAGAGATGAATTAACCTCTCGAAGAATTCACGGTTCACAGCCGGGGAGCTTTTCTTTTTCTTTGCGGCTTCCACTTCTTGAGGTTCTCCATTAGAGGTAACTGGGTCTGTGGCCTTAACCTGTTTACTAGTCCTTCCTTTGAGCTTGTCATATACATAAGGGGAAAATTTCTTCGCACCATATAGCCCAACTAGAAGGAGAATGGTGTTTCTCACAAGGGGTTTCTTCAGCTCAGAGGGCAGTTTTGAGTACACAGACATTTTTCTTTGTAGCTTATCGATACTGAGATCATTCAAAATGAAGGTTATTGAAAAGCAGGTTGCTAAAGCACACAGCTATACGGATGTCTATTCATGTAAACTAATAGAAATGCGATTTCAGCAAACTGACAGCATATCGAACACCTTCTATTGGAAACCTCAAAGGTTTCAGAGACAGCAATGAGATTAAATGGAGAAAAGTGGAGAGTTGTATGTAATTTTGTTATTAGGACACTGCAATCTCACAAACAAGTGTCTCCTCCAAAGTTTCAGAAGAGAAACCAACTCAGATATTTCTCATTCTAACAAACAATCCCAGCCATACACATGAAGGCCTTTAAACTCTAACGTTAACTGCATGTCAACAGTCTCATCTGTGTCTATATTTGTTTCTGCTAAGGAGTTTAAGAAGCATCAGAGACAGTTGACACTTGTGTTATGACAGATCTCCTCTGAACGACTGCTGTGGGAAATGTTGTTTGTTTATACGATAAGTTAAATGTTAATATGTTGTAAGTAAACTAACGTAAAATATACTTTAAGTGTAAATAAACTGGCAAACAACATGTCCTGGCTTCAGAGGTAGTTCAAACGACAGCTAGCAAGCTAATAAACTCAAGAGTAACGTTACTAAAAACAAACAGCGGGGTGACACAAAAACTATATAAAACACTATTTACACGTTTACATCTCCACTATATTGAATCAGACAGCATGTAAATATCAAATAAGTGTCGTTTGAGAAGCGGTGCTAGCGCCGCTGGCTAATATAACGTTATTCGCTTTACTTCAACTTCCTCCGTCCAAATTTCCGTCTGTTTTGATCCACGTAAAGGTCATTTTCACAGCAGATCGGAAATATGACAGACCCTCATCGTGACGAGCACATGCAGTCTCTGTCATTTAGCTCATTAAACGGTCCGAGTGCAGAATTAAAGCCGCCGGTGTGTGTTTTGAGTCCGGGGGTAAATCCATCAGCCTCACCGGAGCTCCGGCGGTAGAATCACAGTAAACTGCGCCGATAGGTGGAGTAAACACGGACATTACTCAGTCACGCCACATATTACAAAAGTCACACACGACTGTTGTTGTTATCATCACTGGCGTTTTTCACTATTATTGGCGCTTTTAGTTTTACTGTGGCAAGATATGTTGTATGATATCGATCTATAATTCAGTTCAAATAGGGTTGGCATGATTGCAGGACAGATAATACATCACCAAAGCTGGTAATTATGCAGAAAAAAACATCTATTAATATGATATTACATAATACATCAAGGGTGTAGAATTAGTAGGGACGCTAATGTCCAGGGACTAAATTGTACCAAGCAATAATTTTGATCAAACAATTAAATTATGTCCCCATGATGCCAAAACCAAACCCCTTGTCAAACTACGCCCTTGTAATACAATATCAGTAAATTATGGTAATACTTACTCAACTGGTAAGTTTAAGTTATCAAGAAGCATTGAAACGTAACTCTGCTGAGAATAAAACCCTGCTAAAACCAGCCTAAACTGGTTGGCTTGTCTTAGCTGGTCAGCAGGCTGGTTTTAGCCACTTCTTTAGCTGGTCAGGCTTGGAGACCAGCTGGCCAACCAGCTAAAACCAGCTTAGTCAGGCTGGGAGACCAGCTAAAACCAGCTACTTCCAGCTTAAACCAGCCAACCAGCTTAGGCTGGTTTTTGCTTCTTTTTTTCAGTTTATTAAATAATTTATTTCATGAGCTGAATAAACTAGGCCTCATGTAGGCCGTGTTAAATAACACAGATGACTACATATGACCAAAAACACTTTATTAAAAAGACACTTTGTACAGTCTTGGTTTTTCATTAGATTTTTTTTTTTCAATAGAGATATAAAATGTTGAAAACCAAAGAGAAAACAGCAAATTAGCCCATATACAGTTGGAAAGGTTTCTTCCGAAAGTGATAAAACATGAGCAGGAAATAGCAATTAAAGAGTTTTTGGAAAAGGAATTTTAAAACGGTTACTGGGGAAATACAATCTTCAATAGTGTCCACAACATGGAGGGAACATCTTCAAAAAGTGTTAGCATTTGGTACCATGATGTAGAAGTAAAACAGATATAACAAACTTCATTGATTTTATTTGCCTTCAGTTTAAATCAACAGTTATTAAGTCTTTAATCAAAAATAAAAGGCTGTTATCCTTCATATTCATCGTACTTTAGATCTTTGTTTTCAACAGAAATAATCGTATTTCACACAAGTGTAAGATGATCTTTCAAAACATTTGACATAGATGACCTCAGCAAGGTTTTACAAGCATCATAAACATTCGGCAACTTTCTCACAGGTCTCTTGTGTTAAAGTCTGTGTTTATTAAAAAAAAAGATAAAGGAAAGAAAAAATGGTATTTCTATTAGTGACACTTCCATGCATCAGTGGTGTTGATTCAACTGGACAGACCACAATCAAAGCAGCTTTCAGTGTAGTCCTGAGACAAGCACGGCAGCATTTGGTGACAAAGTATCTGAGAAAGTTTGGATTGCTTCAGTAAGTTCAACTCTCAGCTCTATATTCTACAGATATATTCGTGGTGAAGGCATTTGACTTGTAGAAGCTTTTCAAGACCTACATCAAGATGCCTACATAATGATAACACAATGAACCAAATAAAAATCAAGGAACAATAGAGAAGGAATAACGACGAACAGATACCCGCATGCATTGGTACATCAAGTTTTTTTTCAGAAGCGAGTACTAACACTAAGAAACATAGCAGACTACATCTATTGTTTAGAGGGGATTAGCCAGCAATCCAAATGCCTGTTTTGTTTTGTTTTTTTCAGTCATAAAGAGAGAATAAAATCTGTAGTTTATAAGCAGAAGCCTAATTCTTTATTTAGACCGGCTGTGAGAAATACACATAGTGATAAGTCATTGTTTCTGCAAGTCTTCTCCGCCATATTTGCTAGGCACAATGGTCAAGGTTGGCATCATTAGTAGGCAACGCCACATTCTGAGTATCACAATTCAAATAAATTCTAAAGGAGGGTGCGGGAAAATTACTAGTCTTGGCAAAGTCCTAATTTGGTTAATTAATCCTTTTCATTTCATGCAATCTAATTACTGAGAGATACAGTAAATATTGACATCTGCAGTCAATCCGATAGGAAAAACAATGAACAATTGCAATTAAGGCGCTACACACAAGAAGCTGGTGATTCTTGCGACAAGCACTGCACCTGGCAGGACGCTTTGCACGCATCTGCAGTGGATGCTGCTGATTTCAATGGATCCAGAACCCCCTCAAAACAGATCATGGGGCTCCTCCTAGAGGTCGTTTCTATAAATTCCTGATAGTTTTAGGAAGAGGACACAAGTAAGAGTGATATTTCGACCCCAAAATCGAAATAAAAATAAGATTTTTTTTTTTTTTCTCAGTATTTTTAAAATAATCTTCTCCCTAAATAAAATGAAGTCTATTTTTAAAAAACCTATTATTATTATTTTGCATTGTGACATGATTTTCATGACAACTAAGCACCTTTCCCTCTCAGTTCTCATTATCATAACGCATCCGGTTGTTTTGCTTTTGAGTGTCTTTATATTTCTCATTATTTTTAGTGATCATGCACATTATATTTTTATTACAGTAATTAAAATTCATCCTGTCCAGAAAGGATTCTTTTTTTTAAATCAGCATAAATCCAGCAAAATAAGTACTATGATGATCCTTAAATCCATAAATAATATGATTATTTTCTTCTATTACAGTAATGAGAAAGTGCATTTTCTTGTCATGAAAATGTCATAATGCAAATCTTTATTCAGGTACTGATTTCTTTTTTTTTCCTTTCTTTTTTTTAATGCAAATCTTAATATAGACCTAAAACAATTGCTTTAAAATATCATTTTTCTTGTGATTTTGGAGTAAAATTAGTTTTCGACAGATTTCATGAAATTCAACCTTTCATTCTGGTTTCATTTTTATATAAAAAAATGCTATTTTTAAATACATCAAATGTCATTTATCCTTTATTCTACCTGTGAATTTCTGTTTTCTCAGTGATTGTGGATATTAAAACTGTTATACAATTACAGCCTGAGGAAATAGAAAGCATCATAAATACGAGTGATACAGATAAAGATGTTGTTGGAGCTGCACAGCGACCTTTGTGCCATTCTTAAAGTCATCGTCCTGAATGAGCACATTTATATTCCTCCACGTTATGATTAGTAATAAAGATACTAACGGAATTATACATTTCATGAAATACTGACTCTATAACAGTCCATCAAAGTTTTAAGATTTGGCTTGTTTTTTTCTCCTACATATTTTAAAATTGCTACTCAGAATGACAAAACGAAAACTCAAATGATTAATTTTGTCTAAACACAGTCTTCTTGATTGTAATTTGCATAGAAATATTTCCATAAAAACATTGAGAAGATCCTGATTCGTTTTTTCAAAAGGGCCTTAAAATGTCCAGTACGACTTTTGGAAGGTCTCGTGGATTCTCATGAACAACTAGAACTCTTTGTATATATTTTGTGACAAATCCATATCAAGGAAATAGTGTGATAGAATGAACTCACATTGTACACTGATAGGAATGTGCTGACATATTGTCTCGTTTGCCAGAGCTTGCTACTACTTTTGCTGATTAAAAGGGAAACTACATAAGAAGTCTGCAGGAACCCAGAGATGATCTGAAACTAGAAGAGAGCTTGATTTCATGCTGAAAAGGGTCTTGAGTACGAGTATTTGTCCCATGTCAGTGGTAGCTTAGCATATGTTAGTATAACAAGGATGTTAGACTGATTTCTGTCAGAATTATTCAATTCTAACCACTGAAAGAAGCAAAAAGTCTCTTTGATAGTCCATTATGGCATTCTCTCAGTCTGCCATTCCATACACACGTAAGCTGGTGTTTGCTGTAGTCTCTTTGTGTTTGTGTCTATTTTTCGTTTGCGCATCAGACCAGCGTGCCTGGCGTGGGTCTGTCATTACTGCTCTCTTTAAGTGTCATGTCCTGCATTTTAGATGAAAAGGTATCTTGGTACAAAGAAAGCTCCATCGACCTATAAGTGATGAGAAAGAAGAGGCGACAAAATCAGATATGATAGGTAATATTTAAGAAAAGGAACTATATATAAAATATATATAACATAAATGTTTGGGGTCATTAAATTATTATAATTTTTTTATTCAGCAAAGATGCATTAAATTGATCAAAAGTAACAGCAAAGACTATATTCGTACAAAAAAAACAATTTTTTTAAATGAATGCTGTTCTTTTGAACATTCTATTCATCAAATAATCCAGGAAAAACATGTATCAGTTATCACAAAAATATTAAGAAGCTCAACTGTTTTTAAAAATGATAAAAATAAATGTTTCTTAAGCAGCAAATCAGCATATTAGAATGATTTCTGAAAGATCATGTGACACTGAAGACTTGAAGAATGCGTCACAGGAATAAATTACATTTTAAAATGTATTCAAATAGAAAACAGTTTTATTAAATTACAATAATATCTCACAACATTACCTATATTTTACAATGTTTAACTCTATTTTTGGTCAAATAAATGCAGCCTTAGTGAGCATAAAAGACTTTTTGCAAAAACATCTAAAAAATATTACCAACCACATACTTTTGAATGGTAGTGTATATAACAAATATAAACGATTTAAAATATTTATTTCATGTTCATTTAAAAATATACTATTGTTCATTGTCGTTTCTTGTTCAAGGATCACATGACACTGAGAACTGGAGCCATCAAAGGATTTAATTACATTTAAAAATGTATTAAAATTGTTTTTTAAAATTTAAATATTATTTCAAAATAATATTTCAATATAAAATAATTAAAAGATTAATTTAGAAACATACTATTGCTCATTCAAAATATATTATTATTTTTATTCTTAATTCAAAATATTGTAATGAAAATTCATTCAATAAATTATTAATGTGTACAACTTAAAATGTGAAATGCATTAGTATGTATAATA